TCCCTGCTTTACATGGATCAGTCGTCCTGGTCCCTTTGCAGAAAACAGCCCCAAAGCATGATGTTTCCACCCCCATGTTTCACAGTAGGTATGGTGTTCTTTGGATGCAACTCAGAATTCTTTCTCCTCCAAACACGTCTAGTTGAGTTTTTACCAAAAAGTTCTATTTTGGTTTCATCTGACCATATGACATTCTCCCAATCCTCTTCTGGATCATCTAAATGCTCTCTAGCAAACTTCAGACGGGCCTGGACATGTACTGGCTTAAGCAGGGGGACACGTCTGGCACTGCAGGATTTGAGTCCCTGGCGGCGTAGTGTGTTACTGATGGTAGCCTTTGTTACTTTGGTCCCAGCTCTCTGCAGGTCATTGACTAGGTCCCCCCGTGTGGTTCTGGGATTTTTGCTCACCGTTCTTGTGATCATTTTGACCCCACGGGGTGACATCTTGCGTGGAGCCCCAGATCGAGGGAGATTATCAGTGGTCTTGTATGTCTTCCATTTTCTAATAATTGCTCCCACAGTTGATTTCTTCACACCAAGCTGCTTACCTATTGCAGATTCAGTCTTCCCAGCCTGGTGCAGGTCTGTAATTTTGTTTCTGGTGTCCTTTGACAGCTCTTTGGTCTTGGCCATAGTGGAGTTTGGAGTGTGACTGTTTGAGGTTGTGGACAGGTGTCTTTTATACTGATAACGAGTTCAAACAGGTGCCATTAATACAGTTAACAAGTGGAGGACAGAGGAGGCTCTTAAAGAAGAAGTTACAGGTCTGTGAGAGCCAGAAATCTTGTTTGTTTGTAGGTGACCAAATATTTATTTTACCGAGGAATTTACCAATTAATTCATTAAAAATCCTACAATGTGATTTCCTGGATTCTTTCCCCCCATTCTGTCTCTCATAGTTGAAGTGTACCTAGGATGAAAATTACAGGCCTCTCTCATCTTTTTAAGTGGGAGAACTTGCACAATTGGGGGCTGACTAAATACTTTTTTGCCCCACTGTATATGCTACAATGTTCAACTGTTCGTTTTTAAAAACCTCAACTGAGTACGAGGGAGATTAAGTCACAGTACAGAAAAGACAATGATCTGTAGTACTTACTTGCTTTTTTATGCAGCAACTTGTGAGACACCCAGCTCCCTTTGAAACATTCCTGGGAATAGAAACACAGATGAAACTTTAAATGGGGATGTAAAAAAGCTGATACAGTATGCAAAACCAATTCAACATCAACAAAAACGTTAGTTGCATTTTGTGACAGATATTGCACTCTAGAAAGTGCCCAAAGAACTTTACAAACGTACATGAGCATCTTAACATGTATTGCTAGATCCAATGGTGTTTTAATTGGACAGCAGATAGACAGAAAAAAAAAATATATATATATAGCATGGTCAAGTTGCAGACAAAAATGCAATCCAAGCTAAAGCTCTGTGGTCACATAGCATGGCATAACTGCCCCCCAACCTTACTATTTATAAAGCTTTTGACTAATAGAACATTGCAGAAAACTTCTGCAGACAGAGCAATTGCTGTATATTAACGTTTAACGCTTTTTTGACAGACATGTCCAATGTAGGATCAGCAAAAATAAGAAAGGAATCAAGCCTCTGTATGAATATGATATAAATGTGATTTGTTACAAGTCTGCTTGTACAACTGTAGTCAAATTAGATCTGACAGTAGTTTAAGTTCTCATACTTAGACAAAAATCCTGCTCATCTGAACAGATCCAAAGGAAGTGTAAAGTAGATTCTGTTAAGCCATTTAGGGTATCAGCAGAGTATAAAGTTTGAATAAAGAAACCCATCTTTAAATTGACAGAATTGTGAATGGGGTTTGGTCTGGGGGGACAAGTACCAGGGTGAGGGTCAAACATCGTGGCACTGACTGCTCTGATACGCAACATTAACTCTGTGTCACTTGTCATTTCTTGCAGTTTATTGCTAGATAATAACTATACATGTTAAATTCCTACGCACAATAAAGTATTCAATACAGTTCGCCCTGTCAGCAAAAAAAACACCCCAATAAACGCTTTTTATTTTAGCTCACTCTAGCTAATCAGCCAATAGTTAGCTAGCTCCCTCGGCCTACAGTTAACGTATGACTTAAGCATCAATTACAATCAATGACTGTATGTATACTGCCATTTGTATAGTATTTCACAGCCAAAGGGGAAACCACAACGTATAACAAATACGTTATTAGCGGTTAACGAATCACCATGTGTACGTAGCTTGACAGTTAGCAGCCTCGTGATGACACAGAGGGCCTCGTTGAGACGCTCCAGCGGACGTTTAAACCGGACAATTCGAAAAAGCAGTAGTACCTGTGAACAGAAATAGGAACCTGGAATACCGAGCTTGATACATGAGGGACACTGGAGTTTGGCGTCCTCGCTGCAGCCCTCAGTCTCACACTCCCTTCTAGCTTCGGTGCTCGCCATGCCTTCGTCTGCAGGAGGGGTGGAGTCGCGGAAAAGCATCCAGACAGCGCCGGCACACAGCGCATGTCCGCGGAGGGCCGTCACGTTGAGCTGCCCGGTCCAATGAGACAGAAACTTTTCCAACAGAGATTTGTAAGATGGCGACCGCCGAACCGGTGAGCACTTTCTCTAAAGAACATAGCAAAACGTTTCGGGGGCTTCTGGCCGCTATAACAGAGCGAAATTACAGTTAAAGTTTATGTATAACTTTAAACATTAGTTTCCAAAAGTATATTGATAGTTGTTACAATGACACGTGCTGTTAGGACTAGTTTTTCAAGTTTGTCTTCTGTGCCATGAGCGTATAAGACGAACGCTTGTGTGTGGAGATCTCCCTACTTTAAGGCTGACGTTACAGCTAACCGAGGTGCCGTTCAAGTTAGCGAGGAATGAGTTTTCTATCCTAGGTTATCTGCATACAAGTACATACCTGAGTCAATATTATTCTAAACAGTTATAATAATTAGTAGATATCAGTTAATTCGGCGTGTAATATAAGCCACATTTCAAGTTACAATAGGGTGTTTGCAGCTAAAATGTAAACTGTCAAACTTGGTTGACAGGGCTCGATGCTGACCTCTACTATGCAGCGTTGGCCACTTTGGTGGTTGAGGTTAATGTTGACTTGGCTAATGTTAAATGATGGAAAGCTAGAGTGGTAGTTTCAAAAGTGTTTTTCTTATTGATATAAAACATGTGGTAAACGAACTGCTAGGCGAATTCAAGACTGTCCAGATGGTTCGTTGTAAGGTCATGCCATAGCGGAACTTTTATACAAAGTAAGCAAGTAACGTTAGCGAAACTTAACATGGCAGATGAGTAGCGTTATATGAATGGGAATTGCGTTGTGTTCTTTTCGTTTATCAAACAAACATATTCGGACAGAATACAATCGTAAAAAAAATTATATTAACACTTTTTGGAGTTAGTTGCCACCAAAAGTGTGCAATGTTAGCTGTAGAGTCCACTTTAGTTAGCCAAACTAGCTTCTCATAGAAGTGAAATGTGTAACAGATGTTCATATCGGGTTTCACTAGTAAACGCTGATGTCACGGCTTTAAAACAAATGTTTTCAACCATATTTAAAATGTATTCAGAAGACTGCCGATCCCTCTGAGGTCAAAACCCCAGCCTAAAAAAACAACAATATTGTTTTATTTAGTTGGCTCTTTTAAAATGTTGACTTGTATTTACGTGTAACAGCATGTAGTTACCCTGCCTTGATAACTGGGGAAAGAGTAGTTGCATGTGACTGTTACAGGAGTGTCTCTCCAGTTTAACATTCTGTGTGGTCATTTGCAGCGAGAATATAAATCAAAATGCCTAGGCCACTTCCCATGCATTTCACCTTTACCATTCTTTTTATTTAGGAAATCAACCCTATTGCACCCCATGCTGATGAAGATGGAGTTGAGGAGACGGGACAGGAGCTAGTGAACCCAGAGTCCTACATCAAACACCCCCTCCAGAACAGGTTTGCTCTGCATTTAAAATGAGATAGACACACACTATTAAGTTATGGAGGGTATAATGTCAAATAAGAACTCCCTGAACAAGTACACTGGTAATAACTTTGTGACATCAAAGAATCAACTTGTGTGAGTGCTACAGAACAAGCGGAAACAACAGCAATATTTAATTCCGTTTTGTATTCAAACCAAGCAAAAACATCTAGATATTTGCTGCTTCTCTCAACATTTTATAATTGTAAATGAAATATCTTATCGGCTAAGAACTGTCAATGTTTACAGACATCACAGTGGGCTTTCAGGACTTGTCATGGGAATTTTTCACATGTTTTTTGATGTAAAAACTGTTGGTTAATCAATGAAATATTTGACTAATTAACTGTGAATACAAAATTAATGTTTTGTCTGTAAAACGTTGGTATATGTACAGGGTTTTGATTGAAAATGTAGGTCAGAATGTAATTTAAATAAACATTTGATATTTGTTTGGACTTTCACTTATGAGGCAAAATAGAGAATCAGCATAGAGCCCTGGAAAAAAGAGACCACTCCAACATTTTTTAAACCTCAATCCCTTCATATATGGAAGCCATTTAATTCCAATGTTAGTTGAATTCCATCACAGATAAATGTTGTCAGTAGTTTATAGAATAAAAAAATAATTGTACTCCTATAAATAGCAAAACCAGAGAAACTGATAATCTGCAGTGGTCTCTTAATTTTGTACAGAGCTGTATATTGGCCCTGATCAGGTACACCACTTATCTGTTTACCTACTGGTTTATATGGGCTGCTTCCAAATGTGAATATATGGAAACTAGATCAATGTCAAGCTGAAAAACTGAATGTATAAATCAAATTCAAGGAACAAAATGTGATGTAAGGATCTCTAATTATGGCTAAAACTGGTTGATATGTCTTCCACACATCTTAATCTAGTCTTAGTATTGTCTGTGCAGTGCACTGGCTAAATTTTGTTGAATAAACACGAGCAAAAATCAGTTTTCAAATATATAAGTAAAGTTATATGAAAATAAAATATATAAGACTAATTACATTTAGATAATTTCTTACGTTTTCATTTGGTTTTAGCTACTTATTATGTATAAATATGCCATTTAATGATTATAATGTTGTGCCTACAGTTCCTGTGGGTGTTACCAGACTTTATTTCCCGGTCACAGTTAGACTTAGATTGTCTGTGATGGTCTGGTGACCTGTCTAGAGTTTTTCAATGTTTTCTTCTCCATCCTTACTCCGAAACATTCAGAGTCCCTCCTGTGTTGAATACAAATAAGCAACAATTGAATATTTTATATATATTTAAATTCCACTGGGATATTTAAGTCCAAAAAGGGTCAAATAGAAAAAACAAACTCAACTTGAAAGCCAGCTAAAAGAAAAGTATGACCGTTTGAAATGCATCAGTAGCATTCTAATGGCAACTATAACCCCAAGTTGAACTTTTTAAATGATTGAAATTAGTGAGGATAAACAGCATTAGGAAATATGAATTCTGCCTATTATTTCTTTATGGGGTCATTTGTGCATGAGGATATCCCAGCACGCATTAGAATGCAAAGAGAAACCCTGTAAAGCTCCGTCTAATGGACTATACAATATGTGCTGCCTTAAATTATAACCCATAATCAAAAATTTAAATATTTTAACAGTCAAATAAGCTAATAATAATACACAAATATCATAAACTAAGTCATATGTGCCCAACTAATGTTCTGTTGTACTCATACAATGCCACTCAAGAGAATTACATTTGTATCAGTATTTAATTTTCTTGCCTTTATTTGGACTGTGCTTTCGACTGTGTTAGACTAACTGCTTTTATGGCTTTATAATAGTGTCTTCAACCACATTTTGCTTTATCATTCCTCAAAATAAAGAACTTGCTGAGCTATAAGAGGATTCGGTGTCGGACAAGTATGACAAAGCGTTCACAATTAATCGACCATGACAGTGATGACATGATTTATGGAACAGTTTGTGTCACACGTTGCATCAAAAGCTTTTGGTTACTTTTTGTTTACCTCGTGTTTAATGAGGGGCTTGTTACAATTATGCAAATTTTAATTTTCTGTTTTCACCTCAACAGCTGGTCCCTGTGGTTCTTCAAGAATGACAAGAGCAAAACATGGCAGGCAAACCTGCGGCTCATCTCCAAGTTCGACACAGTTGAAGATTTCTGGGCGTAAGCGGCAATAAATCTCTCCATACTCCTTTCCTTTCACTGTATTCTGTGTTGGAAATACTGTTTTGTTAATGCTACGCTTTCTTTATTTCAGTCTCTACAACCATATCCAGTTGTCAAGCAACCTCATGTCAGGCTGTGATTACTCCCTCTTTAAGGTAGGTTTGATTTGTTTACCATGTATGTGAATGAGATTTAGACGTTCTAATACAGATTAAAAAGAGGCCTATTCTGCCTTTTGGAGATGTCCCCTTCCTGTAGTGTGTTCTATAGGATGTAAATGGTCTGCAAAGGCTAAAATCCCTGTAGTCCTTCCAGAGGGAGTTTCTCTCCCACAAACCTCCCCCCCGCCTGAAACACCTTCATTCGACTCATTTGTTTACTTCCGTAACATAGAGACATCAATATGTAACACCCGCGCTTCTATAGAGTGCCACAGTGACGCGTCCTAAAACCCGGAAGTAAGTTAGCATTTTACCATTTCCGATTCCTTCGCCAAAAAGCAATGCAATTTCTCCATAGGATTTTGGAAAATAGCTCTAAATAAGGTCTGTGGTTGACAAAAATTGAAGAGACGGATCACGTTTTGTTCTACGACATTAAATACATCAGCAGTGACCCCACTGGGGATTTCTGAAGAGTTTACATGTCTGAAAAACGATGGTTGTTGACAAGTGGCTGAATAGGACTACAGAAGTTTTCGAGGCCGTTGTACATCATTATGCCGAACACGTAAACACTCCCGCTAAGTTTGTTTGCCCTGTTCTGCTTGAAAGCAACTACCTGCCTCCTGCAAACTGTTAAAACAAACGCTTCAACTTGTACCATTTAGAATCTGTATGTTTGAATATGGATCTTAAGTTGGCGTGACGTTGAAGCAGCGACCCTGCTGTAGTTCGTTTATAGCATAATGTTAGCATTTTGCTTCTGGCGACTAGATTTATGATTAGAACATTATAAAAGTAGGGTAGACATGTGGAGATTGTCCGGCTGAACAAAACATGATCCGTCTCTTCAATGTGTGTCAACCACAGACCTTATTTCCAGCTATTTTCCAAAATCCTATGGAGAAATTGCATTGCATGTTTGTCGAAGGAACCGGAAGGAGTTTACTTCCGGGTTTTAGGACGCGTCGCTACGGTTCTCTATACTGTTTCAGAAATAATTGATGTGGTTTGGAACATGATATGGTGTTTAATCACGGCAGCATTTAGCTGTATCTGCCGGTAGAATTCTGAGCAGGCACAAGCTCCCCCTCCTCTTTTCTTTTTTTCAAGCTAAGGACCCA